TACAAGTTTTATGTGGCATGGGGGTCTTCATAAAGAAATGCAGAAATGAAAACGCTGTTAGAGTCAATTACTTAAATAGTGAATTGGACAAAGAATATTAAGTTGGGAAAATGTGATAAGCCAAAGGGGAATAGGCTAGGATGGTTAATTGTGTAGATAAGTAGCCAGGAAGATAAAGGTTAGTATAACTAGGTTTGTTTGTACGAATTCCTTTGGCCTCAACTTTTTGTCCTCTGTGGTAAGAATTTTGCTTCTTTTATATAGGAATTTCATTTCTTCAGAACTAGCATGAATGTCATAGTGATCTTTTTTTCACCTGCTGTTTTTCAAGTGCTGTATTAACTTAAATAGTTAATATGCCAGAATGGTATAATTTTTTCCATTAGCGAGTCCTGAGATTTTATTTTCCTTTCACAGTATACATAGAAAAATTTCTCTCCTACTCCATCCTCATCAGTCCCATTTCTCCTGCATCCTATAGGCAACCACTTCATAAGCAAATACAAATATATAAATTCTATCGTCTCTCCTTTTTTAAACTTTATCTTATGGTTACTTTCTACTGTCCTAATAAAGGCATATTTTTACTTTTTGGGTTATATGATTTGAAGAGTGGTATGGCTATATATACAACTTCTAAGTTGTTACTATATGTTGGAGCAAAATGTATTATTATTTTTAACTAGTAATTTACATTTAAGATGCATCACGATCATAAAAACATCAAACTGTCTTCATAACATCCTCCAAACAAGAGAGAACAGCACTGCTGTTCTACACTGTGGCTCTTGCCCAGTCTAGAGTTGTAAGAAATAGTTCTTTAGTTGCTGTGATGCCCTGGGTAGGTTTCATTCTTAAGTAATGTACTTTGTCTATAGTAATTCTCTACAAATATGTGAACGGAAAATCTTGAAGACACATGGTGATGTTCGTTTGCCTTTGTTCTCTGAAGTTTTTACAGTTGTTGCTTCTGTTATTACTCCCATCAAGAACTGGAGCTGACCTGATGTCATGATCTAAGAAAAAAAATACACACACACACACACACACACACACACACACACACACACACACATGTATATTTGAGATGGAGTTTTGCTCTTGTTGCCCAGGCTGGAGTGCAATGGCGTGATCTTGGCTCACCACAACCTCTGTATCCTGGGTTCAAGCGATTCTCCTGTCTCGGCATCCCAAGTAGCTGGGACTACAGGTGCACACCACCATGCCCAGCTAATTTTTTTTGTATTTTTAATAGAGACAGGGTTTCACCATGTTGGCCAGGGTGGTCTCGATCTCTCGACCTTGTGATCTGCCCACCTCAGCCTCCCAAAATGCTGAGATTACAGGCGTGAGCCACTGCACCCAGCAGAAAAATAATTTTTAATTAAGGAAGAAGTACCAGGAAATCTCTTGTCACTGTAGACCTGCTTCTTTGAATACCATTTAGCACTCCATACTCTAGTCATCAGGCATAATGGTTGTGCATTGATGCCTCCATGCTAATGGACAGTAAGAATCAGAAGTTGGGCTCAAACACTCTGGCACTTGCTTAAGTAAAGGAGTATGTTGTGTTCTTGCAACAAATCCCACATATAAATACATATGCATATTGTCCCACAAACATCCCCAAGCAGAAACCAGGGTTAGGTACAAAATAATCCCAAGAAAATTTTGATTGCTAGATCTTCAATGAGTCTGAGGCTGGTATTTTGACATTATGTGCACCATTGTTTCTCAACTGCTGTGCCGTGCTGTGTCAGTTGTTTCACCACATTATCACTAAAAACTTGGTCTCCCTAAAAACATTAATTTCTTAGGGCCTGTGTCTTAGTGGGAGCTTTTGGTCTTGACTTTAGCTTTTTGGAGGACAGAGTCCCTTTCCCCTCTGTAGTGTTATTAGTGAATCAACCCTGAAGAGATAAAGTGTTAGGGCCTCAGCCTCCCAAGAGGCTGTCACTGGAGAATGGTTTCACTGACCTCAGTGCTTGGTCATTTCCACAGCACATTCTCCCCCTAACCACTCTACTGCCAAATGCCTACCTAACTCTTGTAATAGGAAGGCTGGAAACTCCACTCAAAAACCATACAAAAAACCAGTTTGTACATTTGGTTACCTCCCTAGCACTCACAGTCACTGTCTTTCTCTTTTCCAACAGCAGATAGTCACTCTCATGCAGTTTAAGTGATCTATTGATGTCTCAGCTAACCTTGCTATTGTTTCAGAACATTTCAGCCATCAAGGTTTTTTTAAGAAGAGCATTCTGTACCAGAACTATGCTGCTTCCTTGTGTCTGCCAATGTGTCCTTAGCCAGCCTCATTCTTCTTCAGCTTTTCCACTTTGGCAACATAGATCCTCATGATGTCCATCTTAGACATTCCTTTGTTCACATTACATGCCTCCCACTTGGCCTTGGCTTTCATATCTGAGGCTGGAGGGCAGCAATGTTGCAATTGATTTGTGTGGGCTGTTTGTAGAAGCTGTACACCAGCGATTTTCACCTAAATGTAAACAGGACCCTTCAGCTGCTTGAGGGCAGTGCAGGCCAGCTCAAAAACTCCACTTGGCACATTGTGGGAGGGGAGGCCAGTCTCCTCTGTCCTTTCTAGGTAAAATTGGTGCTAGAAGTGTCATCAGGTTTCCTCATCGATAGGAGTGGGATGTTGATGATGTATCTTCCTCACTGAGTTTTGGGGGACTTTTCATGGAGAATATCTATGTACAGTGTCTAGTACAGGGCCATGCATGTTGTAGCTCTGATCAAACTCGCAGTAGAGAGTGGTATGATTTTAACTTTTCATAAACATTACAAGATAGTAAGAAGAAAGCATGATACAAAGTTTTGGATACATGGGCTTTTTAAAAAAATTACAAATCGAAAATCCAAATTTATTAATAATAGCTGCAAGTATCTGATTATTGTTTTCAAGTTCATATCAGCCTAAACATTAATATGTATACTATGTTAAAATCCTTTTATTTCTTCTATAAATTACTTTTTATTTATTTTATTATACCTTAAGTAGTGGGTACATGTGCAAAATGTGAAGGTTACATAGGTTATGTATGTGCTTACATGGCCTTTTAATGAAGCAAAAACTTTTAGACATTAGCATTTCAAACAAAATTTATTCTAGCAGTAAGACACATGTGATAGCTAATATAAATTACTGTAAAAATTACTTCAGATCTGAGAAATCTGGAAAATAGTTGAAAAAGCTCATGGGTCTGTTCCTGAAGGACACTGTGAACCTGTCAGTGCTAGGACAAATACTACCTAGCTGTTCCTGCCTGTACTACTCTTCTTTAGAGCTATGGTAGCTTCATAATCCTTTCATGTTCTAGCAAAGCAGGAATATCAATTTACTGGAATGTTTAACAAACATTCTCAGATTGACAACATCTGGGAAATAACAGCATTTATAAATCATGGGCATTATCAAAGATCATAATATATTCTTACTACTATCTAAACTTGGTTTTCTGTACATTTGAGTTAATTTTTCTAGAGATATGTGAAGTGAGAAAATGAGTACTTTAAGAACTATGATTTGTTTAATTTTCACCCAGATAACCGGCAAACATTATTATTATTATCATTATATAGAACGACATAGCTGTATCAATATCTATATTTTATATTTACTATCTCACAGGAAAGGTATTTTGGGTTAATGACTATTTACCAGAAAATCTGGAGAAAATTTTGCAATCTTGACAAAATCCTATTTTTTTAATATAATTTTTCTCTAAAAATTAGTTAACTTTTGATTATTTGTGTGATAAAGAATGAGAATAGTAAAATGAAAATTTGCTGGTAACTCTATATGTCTTTTTAGTTTGTCTCACATGTTATACATTATTAAAATTTTTTCAGAGCAATAACAAAATGAAAAACATGTAATTTGAGTTTCATCTTTTTTGGTCATATCCTCTGGTAGAGGTACAGATAAATGGGAAGTAGAAAAATCTGAAATGTAAAAGCTTCCAATCTTATTAACTTTTAACTCTAAGGTTTAATTATATAATGTAATTGTATAGCAGTAAACAATGTTGATTATTATAGATGTCTATAATTGTGAAATATTGGTTGTCTGCTAAAGAATGGGTGTCAGAACTGTGAAGGGTATGAGATTTTATCCTCTTTACTAGCAGACAAGTTACCACACTATAGTTTCATGGATGCTGGTAGAAGACATGAGACTCCCGAGTTACAGACAAATGATAGTAGCCAGGGTATTGGCATTTTTTCTTTTCTTTTTTTTTTTAAATGGATTCTCTGAGCTCTATTCCTTACAGAACAATGTTAAGAGGGCTAGATGTCACCTGCACACAGAGTGAGCAGTGTAGAGAGGCATTCTGAGCTTAAAGAACTAAAATCTCATATGCCTGCCCCTTACTCCAGAGGGAAACAGTATCTGTGTTCCCAGGGGCAGTCAGGGCAAACTACTCATAGCAGTAATTTGAGAGAACCATGGAGAACTATCTTTAAATAATGGATCTGGACTGAAACATTTGCATAATAAATACTGTATTTATAATGTAAATTAATAATGTAAACAAGAGCAGAAGAGGTTGTTTTTTTGGAGACAGGGTCATTCTCTGTTGTCCAGGTTAGAGTGCAGTGGTGTGATCATGGCTTACTGTAGCCTTGAACTCCTGGGCTCAAGTAGTTTTCCTGCTTCAGCTTCACAACCATGTATGACCACACCTGGCTAATTTTTCTAGAGACAGCGTTTCACTATGTTGCATAGGCTAGTCTTGAACTCTTGGGCTCAGTGATCCTTCAGCCTTCACTTCCTAAAGCACTGAGACTACAGGAATGAGCCACTATGCTTGCCTCCTATTGCCCCCATTTTAAAGTACTTGGGAGAACAAAGTTTAAATATGCTATTTTTGTAGCACTTAATTAATGTACAATTTAAGACACTTTCAAAATATTTTCATTATTGAAAATAAGTAGACTAAAGACTTAGGATCATTTTGCTGTTATGTTGTATGTTTCTGAAATAATAAAACTTTATTTTGAAAACACTCCACTTAGAACTCTTAAGTAATTCATATGATTCATACTCTCTCCTTGTTAAGAATCCACACAGGGAGATTTTAAGTCTGTATCAGGCCATGAAAAAGTTTAGATATGAAAAAGGCAGGTTTCTTTTGTTCTTATTGTTTACACCAGACCAAAGTGAATCATTCTGAGAGAACCACCATCTCTGATTTCCTGCAAATAAACAAATGAAAATAATTAAAATAATGTTTAGGCAGGGTAGAAAGTAACATTTGTATCTTTGCTATTTTTAAATATTTAAAAATAGTGAAACAAAATAAAATAGTTTAAAATGCACTACCCATAGATACATAAGAGAACTGTATACTTATCTGACTTAATCATCAAAATTTTGATATGATATTCATAAAAAATTAAGAAATAAGCATTAAAAAGCAAAGAAAGGACAGGATGTTAATTGAAATTTGTAAGCATCTGGAAGCTTCTCCAATGAAAAATTACAAACTGTGTGATGTACAGTGTGATTTTTAAAATACTGTGTTCTGAAAGGTATTATATGGCATATATTTCTTAATTTCTGTGTTTTACTGAGTATTTGATAGTGGCTTGAGGTAATGGTTTATAAAATAGAGAAGACTGTGGTTTTATAAGACTTCCATAACATTTTATGAAGCTGAAAAGAAGTATTAGCAAGAACTTAGCATCTATTTCCCATTTGTTATTCTTTCTTTTGCACTCCCCCCATCCGCCTCCATCCCTATCAGTTACAGAAAAACAGATTTTATGGGCTTTTGAAGTTGGATGATGTGTGAAGATAAGACTAAAGATGAGTGATATTATGTGAAAAATAATACAGTGGGGACATTTTTAAAAATTTGAAGATAAACTTCTTAGAGTTGAAATGGAAAAGTGAAAGGTAAAGAGTAGGGATAATAGTATTTAAACTATCATGTCACAATTGGAGACATTTTTCTTAAAGTATAGGTGAAAATAATTAAAAAAATAAATTTATTCTGTAAGTTGTATCTTAAATATTATTACTAAGAGAAGCCTTTCAGAAGTCTGCATTTATACTATTCTAAGTACTCGCATCTCAAAGGAAGCAGGTATGGGGCTAAAAAATAAGGGCAACACATGTATGTATATATGTGCCTGCAGATCTTGATGCATACAAAATTGAAAGAAAAAAAAACCTGGAAAAACAGGTAGCAAGAAGAATGTGTAATTTAATAGTGCCTGGGGCTTGAGTGTGTGTGCTGGCAAGTTCCGGGCTTTTAGGTAGCTTTGAATTTAAAAAGAAAACTAAGCACTGTCATTTTTAAAACATAAGCTTCAACTCTTGGCTTGTAAACTACCATACCGAAGTCTAGTTTGTATACCATGAGAATGGTCATTGAGAAAATGAGTCCGGTTTTGGCCTTGTTCATCAACTGGCAGAGATCCTAGGTAAATGATTTTATTTTCCTATTATCTAGATATACTTGTTGCTAGAAGGCTGATGGCATACCTAAGAAGTATCATGTGGTTGAGTCTTGTTGTTGATGTTATGCAGTGTCTGCTATCCATGATTTAATCCTCTCTTACTTTAGGAATTATATTTTAAAAAGTAAGAATCATAGAATTAACTTCTCAAGGATCTTCCAGGATTTTAAAGAACAAAACAAAAAAATTTCCTTTGGAGGATTTCCTTTAAAATTCATTGCATTTTAAAAAGACTTAAGGGTGGCCAGGCATGGTGGCTCACGTCTGTAATTCCAGCAGTTTGGGAGGCTGAGGCAGATAGATCACCTGAGATCAAGAGTTCGAGACCAGCCTGACCAACACGGAGAAACCCCATCTCTACTAAAAATACAAAATAATTAGCCAGGTGTGGTGGCACACGCTTGAAATCCCAGCTACTTGGTAGGCTGAGGCAGGAGAATCGCTTGAACCCAGGAGGCAGAGGTTGCAGTGAGCTGAGATGGTAGTATTGCACTCCAGCATGGGCAAGAAGACTAAAACTGTCTCAAAAAAAAAAAAAAAAAAAAAAGACTTCAGGGCATTTCCAAGGTTTCCATGCTAAATAACCTTGACTGATACTCTGTGTACCTTAGAGGGATATTTTGAAGATTTGTAAAATAATTTATATTCAATTTTTTAACATTATTTGAAATAAAACATAATCATTAAATAAAATTTGGAAAACAGGAAAGTATGAAAATTTACTCATAGACCTACCAATCATATAAAACTATGGTTAACATGAATTGGTTTCCAGTCTTTTTCCCCACATATATGTTTTATTTATTTTAAACATAGCTTGAATTCTATTGTATATATAATTCTATATCTTTACTTTTTCATTCTTTTTTTGGCCTCACAACACTTCATAACTTTTCACTTTCTACATAGTCTGTTTTTAATGGCTAAATTTTATTCCATTAAATACTATAGCTTTATTTAACCATTCTTTTTTTGGTTATATTTATATTGTTTCCAATTTCTTCTTTTTCATAAATAACTCTATGATAGCTATTCTTAGGCATGATTTTTTTTTTCTGTTTGTAGGATTATTTCCTTGGTATAGAACTGTAGAAATAGAATTATTGGACCAAAGCTTATGAAATTTTAAGCTTCTGGATAAACACTGTAGAATTGGTGGTTTTGCTTTGTTTGTTTCCTAGTATGGGAGGAGGTGATTTTGTTCAGTAATAGGAAGTTGTGGTTCCAAGGAAGACTGATCTTGATTTTTTAAAAATGTGTTGAAATTGTGCTGAGCCTTGACTCAATGAAGCTACATGTTAATTCTTGTAGTAATTTTACAGCAACAAAAGGGTTTTCCCCAGTCCCTCACTGATTTCTACATATGGTTAAGTGCATTTTCAGAGCCACACCCTTTAGCTGTTACCTAATGTTGGGTGATATCAGGTTACTTTCCTTTAAATGTACACAGACTTTCATAAGTAAATTCAGTAGACAAGTTAAGCTTTGCTTTGCTATAAACTGGATTTTGATCTGTTGCTCACTTAATACAGATTTTTGAATTTTAATAAGTGATCATCTCACAGTTTATTACGTTAGGTTTCGTCTGTGTTACTAATGGTCTCTTGTGAAGTTTCTGATTCGGTTTAATAATAATTGCATGCCAGAAGTATAGTATTTTAGGGATGGAAGAAACCTTAAAGCTCCCTAATCTGAAATTCTTTTATTTTATAGATTAACAAGCTGAGGCTCATATGGGTTGAGTGTTTTGTCCAAAGTCACTTAGTAGCAGAGTTGGGATTATAATTTAGTTCTTACTTCTCTATGAAGTGTTTTTTTTTCCACTAGAGTTTTTTCATGTACTAACAAAACTAGTTCCACAGGATGCTTTACGATTAACTCCTCTCTCTCTTTATTCCTGTTATTTAAGGCTTTTGCTTATAAGCATGCTACAAGCAAGCACCGTATGTGGCAGGAAACACTTTCCTAAGTAAGTTGACCAGCTATTCAAGTTTCACTACTGAACACTGTGAAATTGAACTCTGCTTCTTGCATATTTGGTATCATATATAGGTGTCCTTTTCATCAACACTGCAGAATTTGGTCCTTGACATTTTTTGTAGAAAATGCAGCCTCAAACTGACTATAGTCTAGCAGTTGCCAAAGGTTAGATTGAGGCTTTTGGTTCATATGAGAGACAAGTTGATAGATAAGCTAACTTTTTGACTTCTATGTTAAGCAAACCATCAGAAAAGAATGTACTTAGAACTTGTCATTTCACCTTTCCACAGAAATGCCTTTAGTGAATTATGATTTAATATAATTCTTTCAGCTTACAAAGAAGAGTTATAAGAAACATCTATGTGACTAGAATCAAAACTCTAAGACATGTTTAGTTTGTTTTTCAGTTAAAAAACATTTTTTTTTTTTTGGTAGAGATTGGGTCTTGCTAGGTTGCCCACACTGGTCTAAAACTCCTGGGCTCAAGCAGTTTCCCCACCTCAGCCTCTAGAAGAGCTGAGACTATAGGCATATACTACCACACCCAGCTTGCTTTTCAGTTTTTTTTTTTTTTTTTTTTTAAACAGTGCTCTGTTGCCCAGGCTGGAGTGTAGAGTGCAGTGGCGTGATCTCAGCTTACTGCAGCCTCTGCCTCCCGGGTTCAAGCAGTTCTCCCTGCCTCAGCCTCCTGAGTAGCTGTGACTACAGGCACATGCCACCATGCCTGGCTAATTTTTTTGTATTTTTAGTAGAGATGGGGTTTCACCATGTTGGCCAGGCTGGTCTTGAATTCTTGACTTCAGGCGATCTGCCTGCCTTGGCCTCACAAAGTGCTGCTATTACAGGTGTGAGCCACCACGCTGGGCTACTTTTCAGGTTTTTTTTTTTTTTTTTTTTTTTTTTTTTTTTAACACAAATTTGTTGTTGTTGTTGAGACAAGATCTCTCTGTCATCCAGGCTGGAGTATAGTGGTACAATCAAGGCTCAGTGCAGCCTCGACCTCCCAGACTCAGGGTGATACTCCCACCCCAGCCTCCTGAGTAGCTGGGACTACAGGCATGCACCACCACGCCAGGCTAATTTTTGTATTTTTTATAGAGACTGGATTTCACCATTTTGGCCAGGATAGTCTTGAACTCCTGGCCTGAAGTGATTCGCTCTCCTCTACCTCCCAAAGTGCTGGGATTATAGTTGTGAGCCACTGTACCTGGCCTGCACAAATATTCTTGAGTGTGAATACAAAGTGCTGAAAAAAGTTTCCATCCAGATAAATTTACTATTTGCATTTATTAAAAAATTAAGTCAATAATAATAATAACCACGTTTTAGAACAGAATGGTTTCCCATTACCTAATTGGACAAAATAATCATATAGTATTACTGGATTAAACATAACTATTCTCATTTTACAGATGAGGAAACAGTTTTAGAGGTGTATAGCAGTGAGGAGGTAGTGGAACAAAACTCGACTGAGACAGTTGGTCTATAATACTGCATTCTTTTTACTATATCATGATGCTTCTCAAGGTAAACCGATTTCACTTTTTTGCCTTTGCCCTCCCAAATTCAGAACTAAACTCAGTTTTAACTTGTATATAACAGCCTGATATTCAACGTTACTTGCTCTGCACCTTTTCTTTATTGAAATAGGGTTGTGCTCTGTCACCTAGGCTGGAGAACAGTGGCACAGTTACAGCTTATAGCACAATTATAGGTCGAATTCCTAGGGTTGAGTGATCTTGCCTCAGCTT